GAGGCAAATAAGATCGGCGTTATCTCCAACAAAGCATGAGGTAGCGCCTAACGCGTAAAGAATGAGTTACATGATTGGCAAGCACAAGATGCTACTCGGGAAACAGACACAGACTATCACAACAACAACAGTGTGCAATAAGCATATAATATTACCAAAGGCTGACCGGCATCTCTAAATATGTGTCTATACGGGAATTAGTGCTGACACGGGTGCGTTTGCAAATTTACGAATAACATTTAGCTACAAAGTCTTTGGTTGGAAGCTGCATATTCCTAGGGTTTGGAATAGATACGTACAGCATATTCCCCTCACAGACCAGTTTAATGCCCAAAGTGGCCTGTGAAGGAAGGCTAATCCCTTGTATACATGCTGAAACATGCATTTACGTGCTGATTTCCGGGAGGAGCATACAAGGGGAATACAGGGGACCCACTGAGGAGCCGGACCTCTCGTAGCTGTGTCATGCAGCGGCAGAATATCGGCGAAACACGCGTGTCTGGGCTGTTAGCTAGTACCTGTGCTGTTAGTATGGTGTCTTCTAACGCTAAAATATACTACTGGCTGCCTGTTGGCAGTTAATGAATATTACGCGGTCATCCCTGCTGTGGCCGATGGACTTCGGCCCAAATATTCATACATCAAATTTCGGTCTGCGCCAATAGACCCTAGAATAAACTGATCTACTCCAAGTTAGCAGTTAATTTCTGAGGAAATTAAAAAGCAACTTCTACACTGGAGTATCTACAAGAAAGCACAGACTGAATGCTAGGGGACCCATTGGAGAGCCGAAACGCTTGTAGCTATGCCATGCGACGGCAAAATATCGGCGAAACACGCGTGTCTGAGCTTTTAGCTAGTGCCTGTGCTGCTAGTATGGTATCTTTCAACGCTAAAAAGTTTAGAAGTTATTCTGTTATATCCCCGGTGGCATGTCGCCAGTTTCTGTGCGTAACAGGAGACAGGCAACATGGCAGAGAACCATTTTACTGCCACACTCACTTTGCGTACACCAATTCTCAACCTTTCGAACCACGGCGTCATGCCATGCCTTGTCTGATTTTCATGTTTCTATCGGTTGGGCTCTGAATGCGAGCATGGGCAGACCTTGGCGAGTTGCCGGCGCCGGAGTGTCCCAAATGACACGGTGGCGTGCCAATTTCTTGCTTAAGCGCTAGCTTGGTAGACGAGAATGGTTTGCAGCGCGGTGGTTCCCTGTCACGCATGACAGCGGGACAATATGAGTACCGCGTCGAATTCGGGGCAGCCCTAATATTCATGAAGCGACAAGCTGGTATTTTGACGCAACCGAAGCATCTAGCGTGACTCGAAAACGGACATACAAATAAACAATTCCCTAATAACGCCATTCCTACATAACAGCCCACGGAGGAAGGTTTACATTGCGGAGACACGATCGCTGGAACAAAAGCTTTATTAGCCTAACTTTTCGGATTCTCACTCGAATCCAGCATCAGGGCTTAGATTGCTCCGCTGAAGCGTTCAATCGCATTCATAGTGACTAACTGCGAAGCACACTGGGAGGACCCACTGATGAGCCGAGGCTGTCGCAGCTGCTTCAAGCAGCAGCCAAAACTCCACTGAACGCGTGTCTGCGTTTCTAGCTGGCACCTAGGGTGTGGTGTGGTGAAACCTGCAATATTTATATGCAAAAAGCCTCATTTTAAACGGTTGAGTGGAGAAAGGCCGAAGCTCTGGCTCCCAATACCTTACGTAATGAACGTATCAGAGGCGACAGCGAGAATCCTAAAACCTTTGGGATTGGGGTGGCTCATAGACCAGAATGCACCATTAGGCAGCAAATCATGAAGCCCAAAGACCAGCTACCAACAAGAGAACAATCAGCGGTGGTCTACAGCATACCATGTCTAAATCGCAATGCGAGGTATGCTGGTGGAACGGGCAAACGCCTCGGTACAAGATTACACGAAAACCAACTTGCAATCAACCGCAAGGACAAGCTGTCTTTGGTCTATGGCCACGTACAGGAGCTGAACCACAATTTCGCCTTTGAGAAAGCGGGGGTAGTCGGTCGAGCCAATGAGATGGCCAGACTGGTGCTCGAAAGTTGGTCCTCGACTGGCACACTCAGCGGGCCATCGATCTACATCCCGCTTACCAGGCGCTGCGCACGAGGCCAGGGTCAGTCCAGACAGGACCAATAAGGCAAGCGAGTACGCGGGACCGAGTCAACGATAACGGAAAAGAGTGGAGTAGAGGGCCTGGTATCACGTGACCAAAGCCGAAAACTGTCTCGCCGATGCGCCCGCGAAGCTAAATGCTGCTCACATGAACAGCAACGACCGATCAGTCCACCGGCGGACGTGGGAGAGGCCAACAGGCACGTTGATTTGACTACAACTACGCCAACCCCAAAGAAGGCAGAGATCACACAAGCCCGTCAGTGGTCAGCCCCGGGGAGGTATAAGCCAGTCAGCAGCAAGCAGGCAGGTCAAAGTTCGTGCATCGAACATGGATATAATATAAGGCAAGAGGAGAGGCTGAACAATTCAAAACCGGCAGGGGCAACTAGCACATTACTCTGATGATGGAAACGAGGAAGGTCCCAAAACGTCAGTTCAAATATAATCTGGTCCATGGATTCGCCCTCTCTTATTCGTCTTCTTCGGGTGATGTTGAACGCGATGCGATGTCTGGACCTCGAATCTTCACGCATATCGATAATAACCGGTGGGGCGGAAAGAAACATCAGAACGTCAGGCCTACTTTGACTCCGCTACTGCACAACTCCTTGTCTAAATCTCATCCATTCGTTCGACGAGGTTGCCCATGTCACGCATTTCTTTTCAGTGCGTCCTTAACTGGATTCAGGCTTGAACGCGGTCCTGACGGCGCCGAATTTTTCCGAAGACGCCAACTGATCGACTCCCATTAAGCGGACGGTACCACCCCGCTAGCGACAGGATATGATGACCCACAGAATGTTGTCTCAGATTACGAAGATTGTCTATTCGGTCTGTCTATCGATAAATGCTGTGAAGACGGAGGTCATCTCGAGCTGTGTCCTGATCAGAAATAACCACCTCTCCTCTTGATGAACGACTATGAGCCTGAAGGAGGGGACGACTTCGAACATCTCTAGACTAATTTGCCGCCAAATGGGTAGAGTAAGTACAAAGTTATCGCCTGGATCGATGCACTTCGCAAGCTTTCAAAAGTGTCCGTGCACCGGTCGTGACATCTCAGTCACCACCTAGATCAGCATGTACCGGTCCTTCGTGCGGCAAGCTCTTCTTTACGGTGGTGAGTGCTAGAGTTCACACGCAGAAGACTAGTAAAACATGGAAGTTCTTGACTACCGCCACCTAACAATAGTCTTCCAAATGAAGCACACCGACTGCCCGGACCCGCTACGGTAATACCGCCAGGATTGCCCAGACCACGCAAGAAAGACGTTTGAGATGGTCTGGCCATGCTCTTCGCCGCCCATCCCATAAGCTCCTCGATGCCACCCTAGACCAAACGTTGGCGTCCAGTTGAAGGTGGCGAAAAGGAGAGTAGCTGGAAACCTGACTGGACACAGTCTGGCAAGACATGGAGGTGTCTTTTGAACCTTCAGTATTCGAGCTTTGTCATCAGATATGGAAGTTGGTCGAGCCCTCCGGATCCGCTAATGTTGAGAGTCACTTGTTGAGAGGTGATGTCCGCGACATCATTGGGGTTGACCAGATCAGGTATGACTAAATCTTTATGAACTACAAGTTGGGAAAATAAAGCAGGCTTACAAAACCTGTGAATTGTAGACTAAACGTTTTTAAATTGTGAAGGTTCTGAATGTGATGTGTTTCCTCCGTCCATGCACAGAGCGGTAAGATGGCTCCTATTTCTACAAAACAGTTTAAGAATAGCCGTGGTTGTATTGTCAGTGGTCAAAATTCAGTCTTTATAGAACTTATGAAATTAGGTGGGTGGATTGGCGACCCCAGCCCTCACAGAAGGCTGTTGTGCAGATACTTGTAGTTTGGTGTAATTTTGACGATGTAATCGAAGTCGATCAGTCAGGATCCAGGTGCAAATTCAACACAGGCAGAACCGCGTACAATTCGTCCGGGAACCTAGTTAGAAGGCTGTTGAATATTACAGGCGAAAGCCCGAAAAAATTTCTCACGCGTGTGAGCCTTTTTGGGCAAGAAAGCACGCGCGGGTGGGGCAATAGAGAACTTCGATAATAGCACCAAACTGCGTAAGTATATCGTAAAACTAGATTGCCCGTACATACCCGGCACCCGGTATACCTATCATTTGTAAATGTTGGGCTAGAAGCACATATGATGTGTGACAGCATTTGACTTCTTAGACCACTGTTGATTGGTAACGATCCTTCGAATGAAGTAAGCCGACATTGCCGCAAATTAGACAGGTAACAATTGCTGCGAAGTCGATAGGATCACTAAATTTAGTAAACAAGCCAAGAAAGATGAATGAGGTGGTTCAGGCCAATTTCTGTAATCCAGTCTGTCCTGAGTGCTGTCACTTTAGATTAGAAGCCACTCTTTTCACTTGCAACGACAAAGGCCGTCAGGCTAAAAGCCAGTTCAACGAGGTCTGTCCAGACGTTTGGGGGGTCCCCAGTCACTTTATGAAACCTTTACTGTCAGAGGGACGAATGGTTCAGGCTCAACAGCTCTCCTCCCAAATATCGCCTCGTGTGGAGAGGCGCGGTACGAGACATCGAATCCGGTAAGAGTAGCAATAAGTAAATAGCATACGAACAATACGTGAATGTCGTACCAAGGTGGATGATGGGTGATGCTTTGGGACAGGCAGAGGCAAATACATAGACGTGGGCCATAACGTCATGCCGGCGTTGGACTTCCTCCAGAGCTGCCTTTTCGAAGTCAATATCATTCATCTTTCCTCGCATTTCCTCTAACTGTTCATCTAAGAAAACAGAAAAAATTGGTTCCGACAAGCTGTATCCAAAAAATATGTTGTGACACTGATATTCACGCAATTACCGGTTATTTCGACGCCCAGTTCTTTCTGCGCCTCTGCGAGCCATATCCAAAGTTGACGCCACAACGTAACTTTTCGTCTGGCACTGAAGTTGAATTTCATCGCGGAACTGGCATATCGACTGTTCAGGGGGCTCCTAACAAGCAAATTTAGTTATTTTAGCGAGATACTTACTCGAAGACCTCGTTTGTGTCCTGCATTGCGCCGTACAGTCCAGATAACCCGAGTAAAAAGGCAGTGTGGCAAAGGTAGTCCGGCCAAATGACAAAACTAGGAGTCGTGCACGCGCTTCTCTTGAAGTGAAGACAAACTGTTGATGACGGGAGGTCAGTCTTATTTATTATCTACTAACACTCAGCGCCTCCGTACTTGACCAAAGTCGGGTTGAGAAGTTGCGATTAATCGGATATGAAATCAATGAACACACAAAAGATGGTGATTGCGGTGACAGGGACAGAGCGGCTGCCTGAGAGAGTTCCTATTGACGTCTTGATGTGTTACAGAAAATTCGAGGGTTTGTAAGTACACCTCGCAAGAACGTAATACAGTTCACAGGGAAAGCATGCACACCAACCTATCTTGGCTTTTCTGCCCGACTTACAGTGTAGTAAAATAAAACTGGACTTGTAGAAATTGTTGCATCAGTTTTCCCTCTAACTCAAAAGCATCCAGTAACCCACTTCCTGTTTTATTTTCTCATAATCTTGGAATGTCCCCACTGATTCCTTTAGGAGGTGTCAGACATCATATGTCCGGCTGTCATTAAGTCACTGTATGTGACGATATTGAGGGCCTAAGACATTCGCCCTTGAGTCTCTATTCGACAACCTCGTAAATCTGGCTGGATACTGTTCACATAAAGGATGGTATTCACCTGGTCATAGGCCAAAGTGTGTTTGACTCGTTATATCAATTCGATTTCATACAGATATGGGCTGGAAATTCATGACCGTCGTTGGCCATCGGCAGATATTAGAAAAGTCTTTGAAGCCGACGAATTAATTTGCCAACTATCTCGAGGGAAGAGATGCTCAAAATACTTGGTAGCACATCGAAAGACTCATGGCCGCGCAGTCACATACTAGTAGGTCCGTCATAGTCAAAGTGAGTTACGACCGTTCCCCGATGAAGCGCGGACGGGCGCGCGGATCAAGGTAAATTAAAGATTTATTAGGATGCAACTTGCTATTTCACAGTGCAAATGATCTAACTAGCTTGAAACCATCACATTGTGCCTAAGGACGGGGCTTTAATGATTGCCAACCGACTATTTAACTTAGACCTGTCGATGCGTAATGGTATATGGTCGACAATCAGAAGGTTCGCAAATCAGAAGTCAGGGAACAAAGATTGGTTGGACAAGTTTTAGTAGAGTGAGGAGCGTACAGCGGCTCTGCAAGCAGTCACCACAGACTGTCGTTCGCTTGGATTTGTTACTGTTTTTAGTGCGTCTCTGTTCTGTTCGTTAAAAGTCACGTCCGCAACAGCGACGTCCCATACATGTGCAGTTGCTGTTGCCACCCATTGATTTAATGTGTGCACCTGTAATTAATCAACGAAGAAGTTGCGTTGATTGGCTTTACGACCACAGGAGGGTAATGACAAGCGCGCGATGCGGACCGAAGATCAGTGACACATATCGGCTATTAAGTGTACGGACAGTCACATTACTCCCCGCCTAGACTGAAGGCGGCGTGCAGCGACGCCGAATGGTACACTCATGTCTAATAAAAATGAATAGTCAGGCGTTCCGGGAAGTGAACATGACGTCCACTGCGGGCGATATAAGCAAGAGGCGCAGGAGAAGAATGAGAGTGTGTGGCGGCCGGAGTACTGGAGGATAAAGACGAAGCGACAGTTGGTTGTGACGGATATGGTTGAAGAGACAATATGTGCGAGAGAGGGATTGAGGATCGCGGCGGTGGAGCAAGGAAAAGGGGACCAGATTGTTCATCCGGAGAAGTGTCCGGGACGGCAGCATTGAGACGGTCCACGCTCGCAACTTCCTTGCAGGTTCCGCGTTGAATGCGGAAAGTCTTCGTCCATCGAGAGATAACCTGGTAGAGGCCGTTCAAGGGGTGGGCGGGTCCAGAGGCCGACGGACTCGATCGCATCGGAGATAGAAGCGATCAAAATGCAACCGCCGCACACGATGGAACTCGACCGTCACAAGGTTCTCACTTAACTTCCTCCTGCTGTTTTTCTAGTGTAACTCATCGTGCCCACGGATAGGAAAACGCAGTCGCCAGTCGAAAAGAAACTTACCAACAACACGAAGTCACACAATTCCAAATCAAACCCCATCCAAACTAAGTAGAGCAGAGCTACAACTTTGTTGCCATCTGAACGCCCCTCTCCTGTCCAAGACATTCTTATATCCATAACAAACGAGACCATTATTCGCGAGTTACCTTCGTACACTCTAAATGCTACAGTGGATATAAAGATGAACTTGCACACTTCCGACACTGCATTATATTCCTATTTTTGTGTCTGTACGACAGGGAGTCTATTTCACTGATGAATGCTTTGCGTCCGAAACGTTCTTCCGTCTCATACCAACGTGCCAACTCACTGGTACACTTACCAACCTCCTCCGATGTTCTCGCATACTCACGACAGCATACCACCCCTCATCCAACGGTTTAGTCGAGCGTTTCCACCGGCAACTCAAAGCCTCGCTCCGAGCTCATGACAACCCTTCCCATTGGAGCGAGCATCTGCCTTTGGTCATGCTCGGTATCCGTACCGCACTTAAGCCTGACTTGGAGTGTTTCGCTGCCGAACTTGTCTACGGTACCACCCTACGGATTCCCGGGGATTTTTTCGGGCACTCTCAAAGCTCAGGCGACTTGGATCCCAGCGATTATGTGCAAAGATTGCGCCAAGCCATGGCTCATCTTCGAGCCACTCCTCCACGTCCTTCAACAAG